ACAGAACCAGAAAAACCCATTCAGTTATTTTCCTATGGTTACTGGTTAAAACTACATCAACATTTTATCCAATAACAAACTTTTGTAGGGCTACACCTATCTTTGTTCTGCTAAGCACCCAACAGACAGTCTGGCGGGCAGGTTGGCAGTCAGGCAGAATGGCAGTAGGCTGGCAGGCCTAGCCCGGGGCGCCATCTCCAGCAGAGCCAACTCTGACCAGCTGGTCCACACTAGCACCACAGAGTGAGCATGTACTGCTGCATCAGAGGGGAAATGGATGTTATAACTGTGGAACAGACACACTCTCACCTAGAACCTGACACCTACAGCAGTAGACCTCTACTGCGGGGATTTAGGTGATAACACACCATCTCACCTATGACTTAACAGGTCTTACAAATAATCCTTCTGGTATACCTCTTCACCATCCAAATTTATTTCCAGAGAGTGCATCCTGGACCCCTGTTCACCCTCACCCGCAGATGCCAGATCTAGGAGCATGATCACTACTCCACTCAGGTCCAAACTAAGCAGCAAGCTCCAGGGCGAAAACATAAAGCCAGCACTAAAGTGCCAAAAACTGCAGTGCCTTCAACAAATACTTGAGGCTAGCTTTAAAAAGGGCACATTAAATCCCCATAGATGTTAAAAGGTTCCCCAACTGTACCATCTATTAAGACGTAAACTTTGTATTTTTAAGGTGTGACCACATTATAGCTGGCAGGTCAGGCTTCACTATTGCTCCATCAAACCAGTAAACTGTATCCATCATCTGAGTTTGTGGTAAACTGGCCCTAAAAATCATAGAAACATATTGTCTAACCAGATACTTATTCTGGATGGGATTGCCTTGGCCTCCAGTAACACTGTGAGGAATCTTGGAGTCATTATTGAGCAGGATATGTCTTTCAGCACACACACATTAAACAAATATGTAAGACTGCTTTCTTGCATTTGTGCAATATCTCTAAAATTAAAAACATTGTGTATCAGAGTGATGCTGAAAAACCAGTGCATTTGTTACTTCTAGGTTGGACCACTGTAATTTATTATAACCAGGTTGTTCTAAACACTCTCTGAAAAGCCTTTGATTGATTCAGAGCACTGCAGCTAGAGTACTGAGCGGGACTAAAAAGAAAAAACATATTTCTTCCATATGAGCTTCACTGGCTTCCTGTTAAATCCAGAAACAAATTTAAAATCCTTCTCCTTCAAACTGCTGAATCAAGTCTCATCTTATCTTAAAGACCTCGTAGTACCGTATCGCCCCAAAAGAACACTTTGCTCTCAGACGTCTGCCTTACTTGTAGTTCCTAGGATATTTAAAAGTAGACTGGGAGGCAAAGCCTTCAGCTTCCAGGACCCTCTTCTGTGGAACCAGCTCCCAGTTTCTATATTAGAGACAGACAATCTCTCTATTTTTAAGATTATGCTTAAAAATGTCCTTAATTTTGATTAAGCTTGTAGTTAGGGTTGGAGTAGGTGGCTCTAAGACAGCGGTCCCCAACCCCCGGGCCTCAGACCGGTACCGGTCCTTGAGTCGTTTGGTACCGGGCCGCGAAAGTTGAGGTGTGAAATGTATGGTTTTCATGGTTTTTATCGGTTTTCAGCGTTATTTTGTTATCGTTTTTATCGTTAACTCGGTTTTCCTGGGTCTTTTCATGTGTTATGAATAAATCTTCTTTTTTTCGGTACCGGTACTAGTTTTATTTTGTTGTATTTATCCGCGACACCTTAAAGGCCGGTCCGTGAAAATATTGTCGGGCATAAACCGGTCCGTGAGGCAAAAAAGGTTGGAGACCGCTGCTCTAAGAGATAAGGTTACTCCCTAAAAGAGGGTTACTCTCTTAGTTATGCTACAGTAAGCCTTGATTGCTGGGGGCAGTGTGTTTCTTCTTCTTTTTTTTTCATTCTCTGTGTTATACATCACTGTATTTAAACATTAGTTATTATTAATTTCTGGCACTCGTCCCCTCACCTCCCATGTTGCAGCAGAGTGCTGTCCCTCCCTGAGTCAGATTTCTTTCTCTTAAAAGGGAGTTTTTCCTTACCACTGTTTTACCAAAGTTTTTCCTTACCACTGTTGCCTAGTGCTTGCTCATAGGTCATCTGATTGTTGGCGTTTTCTCACTATTATTGAAGGAGTCTCTTCGCCATAAGAAAATAAAGCACCTTGACACAACAATTCCTGTGATTTGATGCTATGTAAATAAAATTGAAGTTAAATTAAATGGACTTGGTGGTACTTGTCCTTCTTACTCACTTGAGCACTCAAAGTGTTCACTATTTCACTCAATAAAACACACATACATACATTTACATAGCATTTTTATCTATGCCTAAGCCCTTTCCAACATTCACACACACATTCACAATGGCTGCATCAGGGATAATATGAAGTATTTTTCTTAAGGATACTCAGGCATGCCAACTTGCCAACATGCCTTCCAGTTTGGTAGATCACCTGCCCTAACACCTAAACCACAGCTACCCACACGTTTAGTGGTATTTGGTAGCGCTAGTATAACCACACAGTGTGGTTAATTCTACTAATGGGCCACCCAAGAAATGTTTGGTAAGTTATATTGTTATTTTTTATTTGTCATTTAACACTATTTTGAGATATTTTATCTCTGTGCAATGGGTGCACCTTGCTAACCAAGCTCGCTAGCTAGCTGATAGCTTAGCACATCATGCTGTCATCTCAATTTTGTCAGTTACTGCTACAGAAAAAAAACAAAAAGGGAAAAAAACGCATTAAGTTATTTTTACTTACGGTATATGGTCCAGAGTAGCACAGTGATTTAGCTACAACGAAGCCCCAAGTAGCCAGCAAAGGTAGGAAAGGCCAGGAAATCAATGGAAAGATTTCATCAGCATCAAACTGGTTCAGTGTGGTAATTTTCCTTTTCTTACTATGAATCATAAAATACTTCAATGAGCACTTAATATATTATTATAATGAAGGAAAAAAAATATATATATATATAACTTTTCAATAATGAGCAAAATGGGCACCTATAAGTCTCACTTTATCATTCAGTTTCCTTTAAATTCACCTTGACTTAAGTAATATTTCTTGAGTTCCACCCCACCCTCCAACCCCCCCACACATACCCATCACACATACCTCCCAACCATTTCCATGTCTGACAGTTAAAAGGCCTACACACACAGCGAGAGAAAAAGCAGGCAGCTCATTGTGCGTTTTAAAGCGCTAACTAGGCCACTTAGCACCCCGTGACGCTGATCTGATCCCCGAGGCGCTGAACTTGGCAGCAGGCCCTCCTCCTTTCGCTCCTTCCTTTCCCCTCGCCATGGGAACCAGGCCATCCTTAATGACACAGGAGTGCTCCGCCGGATCCCACAATGCAAAGGGGGCTGACATCTGTCTTGCTAAGTGGTGCAATCTCTTGTGCACCTTGTTTGTTCAATCAACAACCGTCTTCATCCTCCCCTCCCCTCACTATGCCCATTTTTCTTTTTTTTTAATCTCTCTTCTTCCAGGAAAAAAAAAAGATTGGAAAGAGGGTGATACAGGGAGAAGATAGTGAGCTCATCACTCTTTCTTTGTTAACATCATCATGCGGACTGATGGCAAATGCGCTATTGCATAATGACATTTAGGGAAATACAGCCATGATTAGTTATAGATTACTCAGACTTTGACATTTCACAAACAACCCTCTTCACTATGAGGAATTTGTTCATTGTCGTGTGAGTCTCCCAAGCTCTCCACCTTCTCTATATGTCTACGTATAGAGGGAAAAAAAGAAAAAGAAAACAAGTGCCTGATTAAAAGTGGCCCCTAATTCTTCACAGTTAAGACCTGGGCAAATATTTGTCCCATCAATCTCGGAAAATATAGCCATCAACGCAAGATGTTAATCACATGCTAATGGAAACCAAGGGACTCAATGCACCCCCGTAGTGCAATGAACGCTTTCACTTTTTCAGAAAGCCCACGTGAATGCAAATGGCCATCTAAGCAGCCATTTTGACAACATGCCAAGGCGACGTAAAGAGCCCCCTTCTTTATGCTCCTCTGGGAATGTATGTAGGGATGTGTGGGATGAGTTCACTTTACCAGGCCCAGGTGCCAGGATATAAATGAATAATAGGTTTTATGGGCTCTAACGGGGGGGGGGAAAAAGCACATACACACATAATCACACATGCCCTCTTGCTCAAGTGCATCTGTGGTGAAGGATGTTCAAATTCCCACAGCTAGCTTGAAAAGAGATTGGGCATGAGAATAGGTGGTGCCTATACATAATTCAGGGGTCCATGCTGAAACAATTATGTTTGCTTACCGCTAAGTACTTGTGCTCAACAGCCTGCTTGCTGTCTAGTTCGGTGCTTTCAGATGTAAGTGCTATGTGCTAAAAGTCGATGGAACACGGCTTTTTAATAAAATATAGAAGCTGACACTTGAATGCTTGAATACAAGAGTGGGAGGGAAAAAAAACAACAAATGCTCTTCATGTTTTTTACTTGAGCTTTGCATGCAAACTAAATTGCTCTTGTAAATCCAACAGTGTTGGCAGAAAACTAATTAGCAATGCCAGGAAAAAAAGGAATGCGGACAAAGAGGACATTTTAATGACAATATCACAGATCACAATATTTCAGTTTAGATTAATCTAAACACACTTTTAATCATAAGTCCAGTGTGGACCGTTTCTTTTGTTGCGACAGAAAAATGCGTGACCGAAGCTCAGGTCACTTTGTCAACAAGCGATGGTGGGAGAAGCCACCAGAACGTTTACCTTCTGAATAATACATTCAGACTCACAAATACAGATACACATACGATTACACATACAAATATTTGTTCCAGCTATTAAAATAATCACTTTATCGTTTATGAAAAATAGTGGCTCACTTTGGCTGTGATTTGATTCAAATTAAAAACTTGTCTCCTACTTGAATTTCTATGTGATTTGCAACACAGGATTGCATTCAGACAGCACAAAATGTCATGAAGCCTTGTTGCGGCAGCTTTTACAGCGTTACACGTGCCTGGAACCTGCAGCCATGGCGCTCTTTTCTTCACGGCCTGTCTCACACTTGCACTCTTCCACCACCATCACTCGCTTCTCCCGGACGTCGGCTCCACAGCGCAGAGGCACAGTAACAGTCTGAGCTTTTGATGGTGCACAGCGGGAGCAGGGGGCCCGCCGGTGGAAGGCTCCTGTCTCAGGACTCAGTCCTTCAAACTCTCCTTCAGACGGGACAAAGAGGGAGCTGCATTGGCCGAAACACAGCTTGTTGTGTACTGTCACTGTTTCGCATCCATCTGCTGTCACATGCTGGGAAGATGACAGCGAGGGTCAGGTTTAGGGTAAACACAGCAGCTATAGACATAAATGTTTCCTTTACCTCTGAGAAAGTAAAAATCAGCGCTTCAACACCACAGCTAATGCAGACTGTAAAAATCATTTTTTTAAAAAAATCAACACTAATGTGACTAACAGTGAGAAATTTCCAATATTCTGTGCAAGAAGTCAGTTAACCTGACGCTGATTTGCATGTGCATATTAATGGGCAAAGAACTGAAAACATATGATTCTTTGGCTCTTACCTGAGTGAAAGGTACTGCAGTGCATGTCTGTTTCATGTCCTTCAGGTTCACTGGCAAAGACATCTTGCCGCCTTTATCTATGACTTTCTGCCACATTTGCAGGCCCTGCTTCTTCTTTAGCTCCAACTCAGTGGGGTTTTTAGGGCGCAGGTTGTGTAGTGGATTTACAGGAGCCTTGTTGCCCACAGCCTGACCTGGACGACCGCGAGACAAGAAGGAAGGGAAGGGCAGTCTGGTACTGTGGGAAGGGGCTCTTCTGGGGGTCAGTCCTCTTCTGAAGAATCCAGACTGGGTCAGGGTATGATGGTCGAGCTGCACAACCTTGACAATCCCCCGGACAGGTTCCTCTGGTCCGCTGCCAGATGACTCAAAATCAACCCTGGATCCTTTCACATACGAGCTGTAAGGAAGTGTAAGAGCCGCCGCTGTCCAACTTGACAAAAAGATAAAGGCGATGAGGAGAGCCATACTCTGAGGAAAAGTTGGATAACTGGCAGAAATGACTTGAAACACTGAAATTATTTTAAAATTTACCACTATTGACTTTAAAAAATTAAATTAAAAAAGAAATCTTTGTCTGGTAGTTTGTGGTCCAAGGTTCCAAATGGCAACCTTGCTGTCAGTGCTTTGCCAGTATGGCGGAGGGAGTCTTTTTATGTAGGTAGCTGCCAATTCTCACCTGCGTTTAATGCAAAGAAGGTGTCACAATTCCCACACCAGACCAGACATCACACCCAGCTTAAAAGTCCAGGTCGTGGATGGTTGCCAGACTGAGAGGATTTTAGTTTCAAAGCAAGTGTGGAAAAGACGGTCATAAAAACATAACATTTGAAAGGTGAGCTTGATCTCGGAGTTCAAACTAATCCGATCTGGGCTGATTCCACAAACACTAATTATGCTGCGACTTTTATTTAGAATGCTTTTAATTAAAAAATAAGAGAGAATATTTACAACAACAACAAAAGAACATCAACAGATATAGAAGTTTTTTCAACAGTTGAATGGAAAGACCTTCAGTCTCCTTTAGCATAGAGGAAGTATGAACACCATTCTTGTAAAACATGGTCTAATGTTTGCTATTTGCTGCCTGACAGCACCAAATATCCCATAGGTATTCATCTGGTTATAGCAAAACATATAAGATATCAATATCTTTTAAATAAAAGTCTTTTCTTGTCCTAGCACACAACCGCATATAATTTTTTATTGGCAGAAATGACTGCAGTGCTGATAAGAAAGAATTAGAAATAAATAAATATAACGGTAAGAAAACATTAACAGTTGTGGGAATTTATTAGAATGAATCACTAAATTAGAATTCTTGATGCACAATTAACCTAAATTGAACCTGGAGGTCTGGGAATTTTACGTGTATGCGTAAACACTCAAAGTATACTCGCACAGTTTCAGAAAGACTTTTGAAACACTGTCTCATCAGCTGGGCCGGTCATTCAACAGGTGTTCCTGCTGCCTTTGACTGTAAAGCAATAATGAGTTTATGTTCCCCGTGTAAACAAACAGTCTCCTTCCCATGTATTCCCGCAAGCAGTTTCTTAGCCTCTCCCTTGGCATCCCATCATTGCGCCATTAGACTTGATTGTGCTCTGTCACCCGTGACGTGATCACATGCTGGCTGTTGAAAGCAGACTAGCTGACAGTCTTATAACAGAACCAGTGTTTAACTTTCTCATATACAAGCCTGGGCTTTAAAAGTCACTTCACCCTCCCTTCTTCTCAGTTTCTGCTTCCCAGAATCACTATTTAACATCAGCGCATACAATGAGAAAGATTAGGAAAGGTAAATGAATCTGGTTTATTTGTAGGTTTTTTATCACATGCACTCATGTGGGTGACATTTGTAGTATCAACCTTATTTACCAGCAAGATAAGTAGTAATTCAAGGTTATGCGACTGTGTTTAAAAAGCATTCAAGGTCTATTCCTCCAGCTACAGCATGATCATTCTCCACTAGAGGGCACAGTTTACAAACTATTGCCTCCTTCTTCCATTCAATCGCCCCTTTAGTATTTAAACAAACCTCCAGACTGTGACTGTGTGCATTTTACAATCAGTATTTTTGTAGAGCCCCTCTGTTGTTTCACTGCTTTTCAACAAAAGGCTGTACTGACAGGTTAGATCTGCTTTTCTTGCTTCCTTATTCTCAAGGGTTGCCACATCAGGTAGCTCCAGATGTGTGATTTGGCAGATATCTAAAGGCCTTCCTGATATAACTGCAAAAGGATTTGTGTCTCCTCCCAGTATTGAACTGGGAATCTTTGGACTCCTGTTCATTTATACCATTCTCTAGAAAGACACCAGTAAATATTTGAATAAACCAATGACACGTCAGCAGCTTGTTGTGGGGGTTAAAAGCTGAACAGGCGGCTTTTGTTTCTGTTTATTCAAATGACAAGTACACCATATAAAAGATGGGCCGTCATAAACTGTGACAATAAAGTTACTCCAGGAAGTAATGCTTTAGAATTATTCACATACTGGAAGGAAATGGTCCATGAATGTGTAACTTTGTGAAAGCCCGACTGCCAGCTTTTTCTGACAATACCAGATTTGGATGAAAATATGTTTATCTAGCATGCAGTTTGGGCATTAACTTTCTGGACAAATCCGCTTTTTCGATTTCTCTATACGTCATATTAAATTACATTTTAAATCAAAGAATGGAAATGTGACTAAAAAGCAGACTTTTAACTTTTATTCAAGAGGTTGAAAGTAAAAATATTGCATGAACTGTTTCGGGATTGCAGTCATTTTTATATACAGTCCCCAATTTTTGGAAGCTCAAAAGTAACTGGTCAGAGTAACAATTTCAACACAAGGAGTGATTGAAACCATAAACATCACCAACTGCTGTGTTTCCTTTCTTGAAATGCTCTGTTATGCCACTGTGGCCTTCACCTTCAAGGGCTGCTTGTTTGTGGGTCTGTCTGCATTCACTTTTGCCATCAGAAACTGAGCATGCTCTGTTGGGATGAGATCAGATGACTGACATTGACATTGAAGAATTTCTCTTTTCTTTGCCTTTGAGGACTTCTTGGGTTACGTACATTTGTTTTGCATCATTATCCATTTGCACTGTAACACAAAGTCCTATCAGTTTTGCACCAGCTGGTTGCATCTAAGCAGAGAGTATAGCCCTGCATACTTCACAGTTCTTCCTGCTGCTGCTATCGGCAGTCATATCATCAATAAACATTAGTGACCCGATTTCACTTGCAGCCATACATGCCCATGAGCCGTTTCTTTTCTTCTTCATACTTCTTCCCAGGTAAACTTTGGTTTCAACTGCCCAAAGGTTTCTTTTTGTTTTTAGAGCTGTGCTGACTCTTTAGATGATGTCTGGAAAAGCCTAATCTAATGTTCTTGAGTGTAACCAGTGCTCCCTACTGTAATTCCTCTGTATTTCCATTCATGATTCATGTTGTGATTGGAGATTTTGGCACTGGTACGACTTTCAGGACTTTTGGTGCTGCTGTCCAGTTCATTCCTTTTTATGATTGCAGATTGTTGATTTTGCCACTTTTAATGTTTTTCTCTGTGATCATTTATTGTTTATTTTTGGTTGTTGTTGTTTTTTTCAGTCTAAATGGCCTCATTCACTGGCAGCTTTATGTCCTTTGAAATCATATTGAGAGTTCCAATCAACCACCAACAAATTGAGACTTGACATTTAGAATCAACTGGAGGTATCTGCTTAATTCGTTATGAAAAAACAGCGGAAATAAACTCATCTGGCCATTAAACTGTTTGTCAGAGACTTTGTCTCTAAGATTGTCCTCGGGAGATTTTATTCCTAAGTGTATCTACTAAAAAAGTCTATATTTTATAAGAATTTTATAAGAAAACAAACAAACAATCAATCTATGATCTATGACATCTTGAGGTAGTATGATCACATTGTACCACATCAAGATGTTTTACATTTTTTTTTATGTCATCAGGACACCACAAAGCCAGCTAGAAAACATAACATACCGTACTATAGAATACTTCTGAAGTTTATAAGTTGGGGACATTGATCAAAACTCTTCACTAGTGTCTGTAACTTTAACCCAGTTCATATTCAACAGGCCGGGCTTCAGTCTCCGGTGAACAAAGACGGAATGACTGTGCTTAAGAAGGGTTTTATTTTCCACAATAAAATGTTCAAGGTTTAGTGTTATTGTTATTGTCCCACTAGAAAGTAATATAATCAGGTTGCAGATAGGTATGTCAGTGGTAAAAACAAAAAGACATGGAGTCGTTTAGTCCTCCAGGCAGATTAATAGAAAGACAACCTCAGGGGAATAACTCAAACTCCCAAAGAAATGTCTGGTTCAGACTGAGGTTTTTTTAGTTAACTAAAACTCCAACTCAAAATTGAAAACATTTAGGAAAAAATATTAGAAAATGAAAACTACAACACACCAAATAAAAAAAATACAGAAAATGTTATTACTTTTGGTAATTTTGGTCAAATTTGTGAAAACAACCTGCATGAGGAGGCATTGGTTCATATATTTACTGAAAAAGGCTGTTTGTGAGTCTGCTGCCTTGATAAAACGTTGTGTTTGTATGCATGTCTTTAGTTTTTTTTGACCTGTGTGGCTAAAAGACAGATGGCTCTATGGTATAGTGGTTGACACATTCACCTACACATAACATTTCCCCTATTTGAGACTGGGTGGAGGCACAGTAGATTGATACTCTCAGTGTTGATACGAGTCCCAGATAAAAGGGACTTTCCATATGCTTGAAGTTCTTATAAGAACGTTGACCTAAAAAAGAACTTAATAATGTCATAACGCTATCAAACATAATCAGATGTTGAGGTTTATCTGTTTTATGATGTTTATGATGGCTGTGGCAGAACATGTGACTGTAAAACCGGCTGCGTCACCAGCTAGCACACACACACACACACACACACACACACACACACACACACACACACACACACACACACACACACACACACACACACACACACACTCTGTGTGATCAATCCTGCTTAGTATAAATTGAAATGTATCAAATAAAATTAACCTGTGGAAATATAATTTACTTTACTTTTTAAAGTGTTTTAACCACTTGTCTACACCATACTGATCAAATATACCTTTTCATCCCTCATGCAATTAAACACCTGTTTGTTGATATTAATATGTAACTTATACACTTTGTTAAGTCTACTTATTACCTGCCACTATTTTTTTTCTTAATGCCTGAACACTAGACATTTTCCAAAGCTTGAAGCAGACTGTTGAACCACGAGATTTAACTCAAAAGATTAAATTGGAGTGGATATACTAAAAAATATGAGTTCATTCAACACTAACATGACTGATGTTCAGGGTTGTGTAAGGACTTCATACATAGATTACTTTTGAAGTCTGTCTTATCACCAGTGTTCATGATAACTTAACTGCTTTCTGTGTCCTGCAGATAAAAGCAGCAGCATTAATGGAAAA